TGGGTGAGACTCGGGTTGACTGAGACAGGTCCCTTTCAGTGGTGCGGTGCGACTTGTGTGAGGAGTTTGCCAAATCCAAGTGCTTGTCCACTCGATGTGATCCTGATGTGTTTGGATAGAGGGTCTGGGAAGTGCTTTCTCTAAGCGTTTGCAATGGACAAGTACAAGATAATCTCTGCTGATGATGGCGTTGAACACAGAGAGGTTGAACCTCAGTTGGAGATTGTTTCCACTGAGCAGGAGATTCACGAGCTTGAACGGTATGCGAACAACCCTCACCTCTATGTTGAGCTCCCTCAGGCCCAGAAGGCACTCTGCCAAGTGCCATTCATAGAATCAAGCGCCATAGTTTGCTGAAGGGCTCTGTGCCAAAGGTTCTTCATTCTTGATGTCACATGCTGAGGAGCGAAACACTTTACAGCCTGTGTCAGTGAACGCCTGTAAGTCCAGGTCAGTACAAGGTTTGATTTTCAGTCAGACATGGGATGTACTGAACATCAACAAGAATTGTAAAAAACAAATACACTTTGTTGAAGTCGTCCCAACGCTTGAATTGATTTTTTGCCCTGAGTTTGACTGCTGCAACACTAAAGGTTCATTGAAAGTTGAATTCATGCTCAGGTCGTGCAGCAGCCTCATATGGTCCAAGTCTGAGAGACTGACAGGTGGCAAGAGTGCAAACATCTTCATCTGAGTTTACAACTAAGAGAAGGGTTCAAAGTGTGGGTATTTGTTCTGAGAGGATTGCGTTTGCTGTTTGAGGTGTGGTGCTCGGCCAACTTCAACAATTGTTTTGGACTCAGTCAGTATTTGAATCAAAGTCAGTTTGTACTGGCTGGCACAGTGCCCTGTAGCATTGTCAAGAAACTGTCAGATCTAACTTAGTCGTTTCGGTTGCAAGGTGAAACTGCGATAAGAAGGTCACAGCTTGGCATCTGTCTTTGTCTTAGAGCAGAAAGTGAATTGGTGACTTGTTGGAATCGCAGAATTAATAAACAATTCAACTGGTTGTAGAAGTGTGGTTGTACACTCAATGCAAGAGTCTGTTTGGATGCCTTGATGCCTCAACAAGCCTTAACTGGCTCAAGGAAACAGTTGACTCGAGTAGTCACTTCTAAGATGACTCGACAGCCATCAGAGGGTGACCTTCATGCTCTCTGAGAGATCAGTGAAGGCCGCTGTAACGTGACTGACCTCGTGTTTCACAGGAATAACGGCCGTCTCGCGCTCCAAGGACGGCCAGAGATTGTGTGTCACTATCAGGACCTTTGTGGTAGCAAAGACGAAGGTTTTCTGTGGCAATCATATGCAAGATAGTTCCTTCAGGAAAGGATGAGTCAACTGTGAAGGATTATAATTTTCTGAATTTTTGCCAGCGCAATGGCATCCAGGGAGCCAATTTGCCAAAGCCGCTTGCCCTTTTTGTCAGTTTCGATGCTCTTCGGGAGCACAGCAACAAGCACGCTGTGGTGTTGCTGACAACCTGTTGCGGGCCTGGAATGATCTGCTGGATGTGGTTCGTGAGGTGAGCGAAGACCCGAATATGCGAGGAGTGTATTTTGAAAAAATGTGGCCTCAAAAATGTGGCCTCAGTATCTGTTCTGGGGTCAGCTGAGATAATTATTGAAAGCGTTGAGAAACTCGGAGGAATGTACACGGATTGTCATGGTGAGAACATTGTTCCTTGCCAGCGGCCTGTTGGTCACAATGAGGACTTTGACTTTGCTGTGGTGGATGCGAGTGGACTTTTGAGTCTTAATTCTGGCAAAGGGGGTCAAAGGAGAGCGCGTCAACACTTTGACGGATTCTTGGGAATGTATATACATTTACAGGACCAATTGTATAAGGATGAACTTGGGAAAACGGTTCAGAAGGTGCGCGCTGCCGGAATATGTTTTTCAACTGGTTCCGATTTTGGTCAGTCCTTTGTGCAAACTGTGAGAGTGGTAAAGGAGTACGCGTGGGCTTGTTTCCAGGTCACAAATCCAAGCCATCAGCCTGACAGCTCAGTGCAAGACACGGTGGAGCGCTGGCCACCACTTCCCAATGCAACTGTCAGAGCACCCATGGGAGTGGGCGAAGGTAGCAGCAGAACCAGCCAAACGATGAGATGAAGGCAACCTGCCCTCCTGAGCCAAGTCACTGGAGGCGCAGGATCGTGAAGGCGCGTAAAGAGGCGGAGAATGAGAATCAGCAGAGGAGATGGGGGCTGAGGGGCAGTGGGCCACAAGAGATGATGAATGGCGCTCAGTCTTCACAGCTGATGGGCACTGCGCCACAGGAGTCAGTGCCAGGCTCAGACATGGCGTCAGAGCAGGCTTTGTCGAAGGGCGCTGTGCCACAGATGTCAGCAGTGCAGGGTGACTGGGCCGATGTAGTAGATCCCTGGGATGACTATGATGTCGACGAGGAAGGAGGAGCCTGAGAACAAGGAGCCCGAGGACAAGCTTGAGGACCATGATGCAAATGACGAGGAGTCGGTGCTTGGCAAGTTCATGGCTTTTTCGAGTCAGTTTGATAAAAATGAGTTTCGCGTCGACCAAAGTGACCGACCCAATGAACCATTGCGACTGTACGCTCGTCCGATCAAAAGCGATCGTCAGGATCCGAGACGCAGTCCGAGATTTCAGAGTCGGCTCAGTTTGCTGAAAGTTATGGAGAGACTCCCAGAAGATGGCTTTGTTACCACAGAGCATTGGGGGTATTTTCAGAGCGAGTGAGTCATAATAGGAGTTCTGGAGATCTACAAACAAATTTCCAAAAGTTTTGTGACACCCTCAAGCAGTACAAAATCAATCCGGAGCAAGAGCTGGACACTGCCCAGGGTCAGAATGTGGAAGAGGTTTTGAACAAGATGAAACCATTATGCAGTCACATGTCTCGTCGTGCTGTCTTCAAATGCTGAAAGTTGGTTGAACTGAACGAGGATATTTTCAAGAAAATAACATTGTGACTGGTTTGAAGGATGAGATTACAACTTTCATCCTGGAGAACTGGCTTCAGTGGCAAGACTGCATTCTTGCCAAGCTGCAACAGAATTCTGGCCTTGAGGGCATTGAGCCTGAGAATGTAATGTTGAACTTGAATTTGAATTCAAAAGCAAAGAATTGCTGCAGATCAATTGGTTTTTGGATGATACCGCTGTGGCTCAACAGGTGAAATTCAGAAAGTTTGTCTGGTTTGAAGACATGAGGCGCACCCCCATGTAGGCTCCATGTGTGGAGTCCTCCAGCGTTGTTGGAGCTTGAGGATTTGGGAAGTTTTTATGCTGCCAAAGCCCGTGCTAGAAATAAGGAGTTGCCATGCGTGTCAACAGCGATGAAGAAGTTGTTGTGAGTCTGTGTCACGCTGATGATCGCCCTATGATGGTTCCAATCACTATATGCAAGCAAGGCCAAATCAATGCCACCGATGTAGATCTGCCAAGCTTCTCGCAGCTCAGCGACACTGCAAAGCAACAAAAGATTGAAAGAGAAAGAGCTGGATGTGTTGACTTCTGGCAGAGTCAACACTGCAACCGTGGGCCTGTCAAGCCGCATCACATCGCGTGAGGAGAAGTCAACAGGGGATGCTACATGTTGGAGGTCACAGTGACAATGCTGAAGGTCTCAGTGACAATATTGGAGGTCATCGTGACAATGACATCAACGATGGCTTCATTTATGTCACAGAACATGTAGCTCACATCTGAAAAGCTGATGGCTCCTTTGTGCCAGTGTTGCCTACAAATTTGTCATGGCAAATGCAGCAACCATTGCTAACATGGAGCATGGATCAGGGAGGAGCGGGCATGGCTGCCGCTGCTTTTCTGTTAAAAGATCACACGCTGCACACCTGGTGCGACAAGATCCACCGAGTTGTCAGAGACTACAAGCTGGCAATTGGTCTGGCTATATTTTCTCTATCAACTACAAGCCATACAACAAAGGCAACTTCTTTGAGCAAATTAAGATAGATATGGTTGAAGCGTGTCTTGCAACAAGGCAACTTGCTCGAAGCTGGGAGCAACTTGTTGTCGTGGTGATTTGTTTGTCACTGTAATTTATCTGGTTCTTGTGCTTTTTGCTGTTGAAATGATTCAATGATGTGGACTCCACCTAGGTCTCCAGCAAGTGAGATCTTCATTAGACTGGGACAATGGCGGCGTTGATGCAGATGCATTATGGAATATTGCCTTTGAGTGTGCGAATTCCTTCAGGAAGAAAGGATCAATGGTGACATCGTCCCGATGGTTCAGTTGGAACCAGTGTGCAGAGGAGCAGCTGGGTGATTGGCACACATTCAAGATGGTGCTCACTGACCATTTCAAGTCGAAGGGCTCTGTGCCAAATGAAGAGGAGAAATCCAATGAGACAAATGACAGGGAGACGCCGGCCTCTGAGTCCAAATGAAAAAACAACGAAAGTAAGAATTGACAAACGCTCAATCAAACTGCAGGAGCATTCTCACTGGCGGTCAAGACCATGACTTCTGAGCTTGACACCCATGTCTTGATGCTGCAAATGGCCACCATGGGGCCCTTCTGGGGCTGGTGTGCGGGGCAGGTGGCGGAGGTCAAAACCCAGTTCCACGCAATTGACTACGCCATCTCAATGGCGTTGCCATTGGAGGAGGAAGGATGGTCATGGATGGGAGAGGAACACCTGTGTGACCTTGCAAAGGTTCTTTGCAGTGAGGAGGTATCAAAGTTCAAGTGTGAAAATGATTCCCTGTCAGCGCTCAAGATGTTTGACTTGATTATGCAGTTGCTTGCACGGCGGACATGGTCATTGGCTGTTCGGCATGCCCTGCCCCCAGAGCAATATGTTGGAGTACTCTCTCCGGAGAATGACGTTCGCAAGACATCTCTGGAGCTTTTGAGGAAGCATCGCGAATGCCTTCTCTAATGGGGGGGATGATGTTGCCAATGATCCAAGCTCGCAAGTTCGAAGGAAAGTGTTATTGCTCAGCAGCTGCAAGAAAATGTTTGCTTTGCAGTCAACCACCCGGCGAGACTTATGATGGATGCATTTGAAAGCGTTGACTATGACCACAGGCGACTGCGAGGATATGGCCACAAGACCAGCGTGGTACTGGGGCAGAACCATAAGGAAGCTGGAAAACACTTGCTGCAGACATTAATCCTAACGTTCCCTGACAACAAGATCGTTGAAGATGTTCGCAATGCCTTGCGCTTGGAAGCCAGGGGAAACAAACATAACAAATTGACGCCTTCAACCATGCAATCGGTTTGCGTGCGCTCTGTGGTCCTTGAAAGCCTTGGCGTTCCACACGAAGCTGAAGTAAGTGAGTCTGAGTCTATTCAGCCACTGGGCGAATCTGGAGGAGCCAAGGAAATTTACTGGCCAAAGGCACGCGTGTTGCCTGAAGAATATATTACAATATGTGGCATGAGGACATGGAGTGCGTTTACAGAGAAGTCATTGGACAGCCGCAGCAGCTTAAGTCTGGTTCCAATTTCAGTCTCAGGCCCTTCTGGTCTTTCGCAACCTGAAAGCCAGTTCAGGAGTCTTCAGCAAAGTGGCCAGCAGGGGCCTTGTCTTTCAGCTGAAGGACACCGTGTCATCGCCGCAGTTTTCTTTGGGTCATGCTGATTGGGGTGTGTTGATGTGTCCCCTTGAGTGGTATTCTTCTGATGATGAATATTAATACTACACTCTGAAATGGGACGCGGAAGCAAAGTGGGTATTTTGCACGAGCCACAGGACTGGAAGGTGTGGCAATCGAACGTGATTTGTTTTCAGCGCAATCGATCTTTTGGTGAGAATCTGCTGGATGCCACGCTGAAGGACCGAACGTATTCTGGCAACCTATTTATTCATTCAATTTATTGCATAAATGTATAACTCGCTCTTTTTTGATTGTCAGGTATTGTGGATCATGGCAGAAGAAGTTGCTGGAGCAGCTGGCTGTGAAACATGGGGTAACTGGCTTGAAGAAGAGCGACGCCATCAAGGAGATCGTGACCAAGTTGGCCCACAAGATCCACCCCAGTGACCACGCTTTTGTGGACCTGCTCCACCAGGTTTGGTCATCGAAGCAGAATGAAGCAGCTCAGTCAGCCCAAGAAAAACTTATTCAAGTCTGACCTGGGAAATGATGTTGACCAAGATGTCCTGGAAAGTATCGATGAAGAAGAAAAGAAAGTTTAATCAGGTGAGAGAAGCTGCCAAGCGCAGAATCAAGGAAAGAGCAGCCATGCTTCATGATCAGATAGTAGAAGCTAGGGCTGAGCGTGAACCCAAGAAAAGAAAGCCGGCGACAAAGTCAGACAAGAATCAGAAAGGCTCCAAGAGAAAGCCTGCGCCCTTGTCAAAGAAAGAAAGAAAAACAAGAAGCTCAGTGGCGCAGAGATTTGCAAAAGAGCCAGACGACTTGCAATTGATTGTGACTTGCAAATTGTCCCTGCAGCGGAAGCGCCTGCTGCTGAGCCGTCGCATGCCAGCACAGTGCCTGCTGATCTGCCATCGCAATTGACTGCTGATCAGCCTTTGCTGGAGGGCACTGTGACTGCTGTTGATCAGCCTTGCTGGAGGGCACTGTGCCTGCTGCTGATCAGCTTTTGCTGGAGGGCACTGTGCGTGCTGATGAAGAGCCTTTGCCGGAGGGCACTGTGCCCTCAGAGTCAGAGGGCACTGTGCCTGCTGCTGATGAACAGAAGGGGGCAGTGCCTGCTGCCGGGTCAAGGGCCGCCAGCCAAAAAGCAGAAGTTGTCTAAGACGAAGTCGAGCGGTCATAAAATTGATGATGATACTTCTTTGCGTGAGCTTCTTAGTCTTGAAGAGCCTGATTGGCGCGCTTCATCATCATCAACTCAAAGACCCGCTCCAAAGCTCAGCAGCGAGGCCCCCGAGAGCTGAAGGAAGCAACGCCAAAGACTGAAGCAACAACCATGGCCCCCAGCAACCGTGGGCCAATTCAATCAAGGAAAGGAGAGACAGTGAAACTGGCAAAGATGTTGTTCATCAGTTCAAAAAGGACCCAAGCCCTGGTTCCCGAGACAAAGCAGCTTACTATTTTAGGGTCCACGCCAAGGAAGTTGGAGGTGCCTTGGCTTCACAAGCAAGTTGCCTTTGAGGTACAGAGGTGTTTCTCTATTTCATTGATTGTCCTATGAATGTGGATTCATGATGAGTTCAGGCGAATGGGCGACACGTGCGCCCTACAAGGGATCACTGATCACCCACAAAGATTGACGAGAAGGGCGCGTTGGATTGGATCTGCAAAAACAAGAAATGTCTGTAAGTGAAAAGAAGTATGCGCTGAGCTGCTGCACTGTGCTCAAAGATTCGCATTTTGATTTATCCTTTTGCAAGGCATACGTTTTGATGGTATTCTGATCTTGGCAGTCAAGTTGAGCGTTCAAACTTGTCGTTAGTATGTGCTGAGCCACTGCACTGGTTCGCATTAGGCGTACGTTTTGATGGTAGTTTGATCTTAGCAGCCAAGTTGAGCGTTCAAACTTGTCCAATCAAACTTGCTGTTTATGATTCAAGCCGTGGCAATCATTGTGACATTTAGTGTGGCTTTTGCAATCATCATGGTGGTGATTCACTTCTTCAATTCCTGTTCCACCAACATCGTTGACAATGAAGGCGTATTTGATGAACCGAGTGCTGTTGGCAAAGTGCAGTTGTCTGATGATAATGACTCTGAAAGCTGCTTTTCTTTTTGGTATTCCGACGATTCCGATATGTCATCATCACATTGGGGCGCTGAGTCAGACCCTGGCATTGAAAGAGTCTGGTGTCAATTGTGTGATCTTCAAAGATTGACAGAGAAGCCTTTCGCGTGTTCTTTGAAGCAGTGAATCACAGTCGAAGCTGAAGGGCGCTGTGCCAAACTCTTCATCTGGACGTCAAATTAGCAGACTTTTTTTATGACGGAGACTGGGCGCAAGTTCCATGTCACAGGTCAATGCAAGCATCTGGAGGACAGGTTGAAAGTTTGCTACATTACATGGTGCCCTCAGCCAAAGTGATATGTACTACGACTTGTCACCTCGACTGTAATCTTTGCTGAATTAACTATGATTCAGGTTGTTCACATGGTGCCCGCCAAAAGTTGTTGGGCAAGTTGACGTAAAAAAAGGGTGTTTGCGGCCTGTGCTGATATTCCTTGATATTTTCAGTCATGTTTTGATTGCGTTGATTCCATGTCATGGGACTCATACTTGCAGCGCAGTAAGCTGACTAGCAGTGCACTTCGTACGTGCCAGCCAGGTGAATCATCATGAAGATCAACAATGGATGGCCGTGACTTGTTTGATGAGGTTAATGCTGATTGAGCTGAATGTCCTGTCACGTATTAAATTTTCAACAAACTTACTTGTTTTGTTTCCAGTCAGCACAGTGCTCTTCAGCAAAAACTTGACTAGATTCAAACATCTTTTTACAGTAACAATCCCTGCCAGCACAGTGTTCAGCAAAAAGTTTACTTACTAGTTACTATTCAACAATCTTATAACCCCTGCCAGCGCAGTTAAAAATAGACGACTTTCCAAAAAAATCAATGCCTTGAGCCAATACTTGACTAGTTGCAAAAAGCTTACTTTGTCACAATCCCTGCCAGCGCAGAGCTCTTCAGCCAAACTTACTAGTTTCAATAACTTTCAACGAGGCCAGGAGCGATTATTGTAAAGGAACCGTTTGTACTTAGTACGTCTTTCATTGTGTTTTGTAAGTTGACTTGTCGCTCGACTTGTCAACTTATCGTAAAAGGAAACGTTGAACTTTCCTTTTGTTTGCAAGTTCACTGCAACTTCACTCGTGGCTCCACTCGTGAAAACACTTTTGGTTCATTCATGATTTAACTGGCTGGGAAAATTTGTTCAAAATCATTTCCAATCATATTTGTGTCTTTTTTCTCTTACTTGAGGAACTCCTAATCATTCTAAATCTTATTTGTGACAATTTTATGCTTAATTAGTATGATTAACTATGATCAAAGCAATTTCAAACATGCAAAAAAAGGACATAGCCAGGGTGGCCTCAAAGGATGCCCATCTGGAGGGTCAACTTTAATTTGCTGATTTTTTGTCATTTTCGGACTTGGGGCAGGCCATCGTGACCGCGTTTGGATTCAGCTGCGCTCTCGTACCACTCCTTATCAACCTGAATTTATGGAGACGACGCAGCGTCGTTATGCGCAGAACTTCGGGCCTGTGTTTGCTGAAGTGCTCCCCAACATGCCAAATGTGGAATCTTGTGGATGCCACTTCAAACTTGTCCATGGACTGCTCCTGGCTGCCCTATTCAATCTCGCCCACGAGCGAGGGCTACGGAATGGTCTTTGAACTCCTGCTGCGTCGGCTTCTGAACATGTTGCGAAACATCGGACGCAATCAAAACAAGCGGCCCAGGTAGAGTCTATCAAAGGCAAGCCGAAGGAGAAGGAAGTCAACCAGATCTCCAGGTGCTCACGCGTTCAAAGACTTGGTTTTCGGCGCGAGGATCAGCTTCAAATGTCGCAAATGGGCGTGAATGGCGCGCTCGACAGCCTGGTTCAAGATTTTTCAAAGATGCACTGCCTTTCACGCTGAGGCGGAAAATGTCTCACCCTACAGCCTTTTGCATCTCCAATGAGGACGACGGCGCGTTGAACCGCCTTTCAGATTCCTCTCGCACGGCGGAGGATTTTGAAAGCTGAGCCTTGGATTGGATTTTGTTGTCGCGAGACTCGATTGCCGATTTGAGTGCTCACCATGAACGGCAGTGCTAAAAGATGCCAACGCTCTGCATTGCGAAGGTCGAAGGTCACCCGCACATACCCAAGCACCAACCCAACTCACATCGAAGGAACTCAGGCTAACTCAAGTCACACCGACTCAACCTGTATACACCAACTCAAGTCAGCCCGCACACCTCAACTCGCCCGACTCAACTCACACCAACTCAGCCTATGCCAACTCAACTCACACCGACTGAGCTTACGCCGCAACAACTCACCCGAGTCGACTTACACCAACTCAACTCATACCATCTCAGCTGACTTACACCATCTCTGTTTACAATTCACCTCACACGAATTCAACTTACCTCACACCAACTCAACGCACAACGACTCAACTCCCACCAAGGCAACCACCCAATTCAACTTACCCGAACCCATCACACCAACTCATTTCAAACATTCCAAGTCACCCCAACTCAACTTACTCCAGCTGCTCAACTGCTGCTTTCTGCTGCTTTGTTTAGGGGCTGGCTCCCCAAGTCGCCGTGGCCCCCCTGCCGGCCAGCAGTGTCGATGACAGTTCAGCCTTTGCCCGAACTCCCCCACTGCATGTTTGGTGCGCAAACAATTGAACAGTGTCTAATTTTAGTCATGTGTGTTCTTGGCAAGTGCGGATGTCAATGCAGATGGGTTTTGTGCAAAAATGTGAAAACTAAGGTTGGCCAGGTCAACGCAGAGGGGCATTCGATGGGGAACGCTGAGACCAAGGCACCTTTCATGTCATTTGCCATTCAGGGGGAGGTTTGAGCAATTGAACAGTTGTTTCACGTGCATTCCTTTCCAGGAGACGAAACGCAAGGCCCGGTCAAAGAATGAAGACTCAAGGCGAAGGCGCAAGAAACGAAAATCACGTGACGTGGTGCGAAGGTGCATAATTGAGTGAATGCGCCGACTATTTACTTGAGTGATTTTTTTCAGTAAACAACTTGGCGCAAAAAACTCAACGTCCCTGTTCTTAGCTTTTGGGCGCCCGTGAGGGCAATACACCTAAAGTATTTTGTTCATCGGCTTTAGCAGTTGGAAATTTTCGAGCAGATTGCACTTTATCATGCTCAGCCAGTTCAAAACCTCCAGCAGTGTACACCTCAAACATTTTCATTTTGTGTAGATATAAGAAAACATCGGGCGGGGTAGGCCAGAACAGAGGCCCCGAGTCGCAATAAAACTATATGAGCTTGAAGCGGGCCATGGAACCCGGTCGGCGAATTATCGTTTCTTCGATACATTGGAGAACCTGGAGCATAGCGACCCCAAATGTTTCATCATTTTTGATCCTTTGGTTGAGCGTAATCACTAGTTCTATTCATTAATTGTTGGAGCGTAGTACCCTTAGAACATGTTCATCAGTTTTCGCAAATGGACAATTGATCTCAAGCAGAGTTCCAGTGATCCTATTTTAGACATGTCGCTTTTATCCATTGAGGACCTTAGCAGAGTTTAGTCAGCAGCTTAGCGCCAACGCAGCTGCAATGACCTTGTACCACCCAGCGTTCTCTCTTAACGTCCATTTCGCTATTTTCCGACCTTCCTTTAGTTTAATTGACCAAAAATCAGGTCAGGCCTCAGGCTTGAATGGTTCAAATCACCGGTTTTGCCTGCATATGCCTGCTCATGCCGCCCATTGTTTCAGCCTTCCAGCTTGTTTGCTCTCTCCTCATTGTCCAGCTCAATCAATCAGCATCGAGTAGACAAACCATTCCCGTCATATTCATTGTCTGCTTGTCCAAGGATGTCACGTCATGCCATTGTTCCTCGACACTGTGTAGATTCCTGAAAGCCTTGAAGGCCTTGTATGCCTTACACGTCAACCAACTACTACATTCCCCAGTTTTGCAAAGTTATTTTTGTCATACTTCTTTGGAATCAGAATCATACCCATCCTCTCATTCTTCTGATGATTTGGAGTCCACCTCGAACATGGTTTTTCCAGTGTACTGGCGCACTGTGATTAGCCTGTTGAAAGAAATCTCAACGTGTCACAGAGCGCAAGAAGTGGTGTGAAGCTTTGCTGTGTCCAGTATGGCCATGAAGTTGTGGTGTATGGCCAAAACCAGGCAGCATGACAGACATTGTCATCCATATCATTCCTTTTCTTCAGATATATATAAGTGAAAAGGGTGCTGCAGTGACAGTGTATTCGGATGGGCTGTTGCAATGCCTTTCTAGAGCCTGCAATAGATTCTTTTTCAGGCTACTCAAGATACTTTTGCAACATTTTGCCTATGTTTGCACACGTTGGAAAGTTTAGTTCTTGCTTAGAGCACTTTCAACTTTATACAAATCTCCCTCAAAACCTCGGAACCAAATGAATAGTGCTGAGGGCGGGGGGGCAGCTTCCTTGAAGAAGCCTGAGCTTTCCCGTGTCCCAGCTACTAGTAGCTTCCATTTGGTCAACTAGCTTACACTAGCTTACTTAGTCGCCTCCCCCCCTGCTTGGCAGGCTTACAACTAGGTGTTATATAGTTGCCACGCAACTTCAGGAGCTCAGAAAAAGTGCCAAAACCTGTGGGACCGACCAAGACGAGCCCACTGACGCCTGGAGTGGTGGACCAGCCAGGGCAGCACTTGGAGGTTGGACGTTCGGAGATGAAACTCTTCGGGTTGAACTCTTAGGGGATGAAACTCCTAAGAAACGTGATGAATGTGTTTGGTTCTCAGCACTTGTGAGACCTGCGAAGTCAGAGTCAAATTGATGCGCAGTCAATACAATGCGAGTGGATACTGATAGATACCATCATTAGATACCACCCAAAGTATGTACAGTCGGTGAATTTAGTTTTGATACAAGGTACAAAGACGAACATGGCATGACTAGCTTTCGGTTTCACTTGTCCTTGTCTACAATGTACAGTTTACCAGGGATCCTCCTGTGCGGAGGCTCGTGTTGCGGTGGCACGTGCTGTGGAGGCAAGCGACAAGAAGGCCATGCTTCATAGTACGATCAAGGGTGATACTTCATCATAGAAGGAAAGATAAGTAAGTGCCCAAGTGGCAAATTCCTTAAGAGTGTGAGCACTTCAAGGCCTGTGTGCGAACTGAATTTTGATTGAATTGGTAGATAGATGTAGATAGCATCGGCCAAACATCTTCTGGCAATAAACCCCGATCGTCCAAATTGCGTCGAATTGCGATCTACATTACACAACGGACCAAAAGTATTTGCAATTCATTTGGTTTCATGCCACATACATTGGCATGCTCTGTTTTCTTGTGTGCAAAAGGTGGCGCTTAAAATACATGATGGGTTTTTACAATGCATGCCATCAGGCTGACTCAGACTATTCCAATGATACGCTGCTTTGCTTGATTGGCGGGAGGGCTCTTGAAGTCGGACAGACACTGCTTGCACTAGCCAATCTGGGAAGCTGAAGAAGTTTGAACATGGTACACACGTAAAAGAAGTCCTAGATTGTACAAACAATCACACACACACACAAACAACCATCGAGGAATGACAAGGATGAGGCGGGGTGTTGACGGCAACAGAGCCAGCATGCCAGAAAGTCTACTGCCTCCAGTTGTGGCACGGTGGATGGTGCATACTGATTGCATGTACTTTGTTGCCAGTGTGGCAGGCATTTCCAGCTGAGAGCCACGTTGGCAACCCGGACGGGCTGGATGTCTCAGGCTTGCTTGAAGAGCTGATGCTGGCGTCGCCTGGCAGTTGAAGTCAATTTGGATCAGGTATTTCGTATGGTTTGGTTCCGCACCCCCTGGTTGGTTCAGAATGGAAAGAAAGGGGCCGACCCTGACCGTCCCCCCCAAGAGGTCCTTCTAGCCAGAGATTCAGCTCATCATTCAGAATAGTAAGTTTCCCTAAGAATCTAGGAGCCAAATCATTAGAGCGAGCGCTTCTTCAAGGAAGCTCCCCCGCCCTCAGGCGAGGGGAGCTTCCTTGAAGAAGTGTGAGCTATTCTGCGTCCTACCTGGAAGCTAGCTTCTCCTGGTAGCGAACTAGTCGCCTTACTTATATAAAAAGTAGGAGGAGGGCGGGGCCCAGGCCACCCCCCAAAAGGAATTCCTCTATCAATCCTATTTTGGCATCGTGTTCTCAGGTTTCCGAGAGGGATGCGATTCTCTACACTGAAGGACTAACTTTGGTGTCAATCATGCATGGTTTTTACTGTAAGACTATTGTTCGACCAAATCAACAGCCGTACTTTGACATTGTGACTGGTGCCAGTGACCTAGGAGCAGCTTCGCGCATGCAATGATGGGACCTTCAGCGAGACTGCCTTCACCTGCCCTAAAATTGTTGCTGCTTCTTCGCTGCATTGCCACCCAAACGATCTCTCACTAAGAGTAGAATAGAAGCCGAGTAAGACAGTTGCAAGCGGTGTTTTGAATGGAATCCAGCGGCACACTATATTGCGAAACAAGACTGATTCACATCCCCTTGGTGTGGCAGTGTGGATGCTTGCATCTTTTTGATGCCTCCTGCCGTTCTTACACATTGCTAGTGTAAGAAGTGGATCTACAATGACTCTGAACGCATACACACCAAGGGCAAGGTCAGGATTGACATCAAGCACGGAGGCGCAGTGCATGCACCACTTGATTGGCTGAAGCTTATTGGCTTTTGTGTTTTTTTGCCTTCAATCGGTATATATTTTTTGTCAGCCTTTTTGTCCGAATATGTCAGCTGATGTCAACCAAACATCATTGTCCCAATCGCAAAAGAGTATCACAAGACCATCAGGTTCATTTTTGTGTTCATCGCTTCCACTATTGGAGCGTTGGGTTTCAACCATGCCTTGCAAGTCTTTTCCTTTTGCTTGCGGAGAGCTATTGTTATTGCAACTTGATCTGTAGTAGTGATCCTCTTTGGGAGCGAACCACGCCCTCTTTTTTCATCAGAAATGGAATCTCAAAGGCTCAAAGGGTTTGTCTCCCACGCGCTACTGCTGTTACTTGTGGGGCAAAACTTGACCCCTGTTGATTGTTTGAACAACTAGGGTTTGTATTTGTTGGGTCCAGTCCTCGACAGTTTGCCCCCCTTTGACTCTGTGAGTCATCCCTCTTGGGCAGCTTTCCTGCTTGATCTCACAATTGGCTTGACGGGGCAGAACTTGTTGGAACTTGAGCGATGGGAGGTGCTGGCGTTGAACCCCCTGGACTTCAGAGAATCTAAGTGGAAGGCTTTCGGACAGTTGGCCATGTTGAGTCAATCTGGGCTTTATTTGCACCTTTTTCTGGAAGTCTTTGTTTGGACTGTTATTGAGGTGGAGTGCTTGTGCCGCAGGAAGGCAAGGACTACACACACACACACACTCAGGCGCATTTTGCGACCGCGAGCCACAAAGTGTGCCACAAAGGTGGCGATTTTTGTTAACGCCACTTAAAAACACGCGTTTTGCAGAAAGCTTGTTAACTTTGGCCCAGGTTGGGGACGGGCTCGCGCCAGACTCTGGGAGCCATTGATCGAGGCTTGACCATTTTTGGAGCGAACCTGATTGACCCAAATTTGCCCGGGGAAGTAAGCTACTACCTACAAGTAAGCCACTACCTCACGCTTCCTTGAAGAAGGGCTCGCACTATTCGTTTGGTTCCCAGATTTTTAGGGAAACTTAGTCTGGGCCAAAACGGTTGGCTACTAATAGTACCGACTACTAGTATATCTAGTACCGCACATTTAGATGGTGGCCTAGTGGCAAGGACGCGAGCTCGGATTCTTGAAGACGGGAGAAGCTTCCTTGAAGCCTCGCAAAACCGTTCTTGGACTTTGAGAAATTGAGGAATGGAGGTGAATGGCGTGTCAAGCATTGAACTTTTGAGCCTTTTGAGTGGTCCTTACCAAAGTTTTGCGTGAGGTTGGTGCAACTCAATGAGGGGCTTGGGGTGGGATGGGATGTGGTTCAAGGCAGCATTTGCATTCCACTTGAGACCGGCACAGTCTTTTAAAAGAGCCATTGCCAATTCCCAAAGATGTACCGTCAAAGGAATAGTATGTACTGTAACAGCTTGTGATGTAACAAGAGGCTCGCAACCCTCGAAGGTTGCCCAATGACCTTGAAACAAGAGGGGCAGTGGTACCATGAGCAGCTCTAAAGCTGCCCATTTGGCAGCTTTGCATTGCTTTGTTCATTGCTTCGCTCTGGCCTTTTTCTTGGCTGCTCCATTGGTCGATTAGACAACCTTTATCATAGACTCTTTGGTCATTTTTGGTCTGTTTTAAGCTTGTTTTCTGTTGAAGTGAGCAGCCGAGGGACTCCTGGGATTTTTGGTCGGTGTTCCGCACGCTTGCTTCAGCGATGACTGGACTTTGCGAGAGCATGCTAGAGCATTCTTCTTGGATTCTGTCAACAACTTCTTGTTTTCAACGTTGTTTCTGTGGCAAACATGTAGAATCAATACATAAAACTATATATATATATATATGGGCTCGTGACGATTTGGGGGCCCCTCGTGAGATAAGATAGTCATTATTTCCAAGTATGGTTTATAAACTAGCCTTATAGTTTATAAACCATATCTTCGCATACTTAGATAAGTCCGAGCCTATATATATATATATCTGTTTGTCATGCCACACATATCTGTCATGCAATTCTGGTACATGGATACGTTTCATCTGCTTGTAGCTCACTAACTTCAATGTCTCTAATACATGATGACCGACCTGAGTTCCATCATCTGTACCTCACTTCTCCAACACCGAGGCAGCAACCTGCCGTCATCGAGAAACGATTGCCTGCTCAAACCATTCATCGTCGTCCTGCTGCTGCTCTTCGGAAGCCTGCCGCTGCTTTTCGGAAGCCTGCCGCTGCTCTTCGGAAGCCTGCCGCTGCTTTTCGGAAGCCTGCCGCTGCTCTTCGGAAGCCTGCCGCTGCTCTTCCAAAACCTGTTGCCGTCTTCAAGAAACCTGCTTCTGTCATGAAACCAGCAAGGATACCAGAGCTCATGGTAGGTGGCTCTTTGCTGCTGTGCTGGTTGGCAACAAGCGCACTTGCTACACACGTGGCAATGGACTGAAACGTTTCAGCTTCACTCTTTTGCCGCAGCCTGCTCTTGCCAAAGATGGGAAGTCTCGTGGCACAGCGTCTATGAAAGATGCTTTGATGAGAAGCGTTTCCAAGAAGGCCTTCCTCGTGCACGACTCATGGAAAGCTTCTTCCGCTGCTATCACTGCCTGCCTCCAGTGAATCATTCCATTGGTTGGCGTGATTCCAAGACTGGCTTCCATTCGAATGACATCGAAAGTGAGTTCTCCCGGCTCAAGAACATGGTCCGTGAACGCTATGGCCGCCTTTGCTTCCAAGCCACTGCCTCATCATCTGAGACTCCTGAAGACACCGTGGAGGATGGTGATCTCTACGAATATGCATACCGTGTCAACACTGGAGACAGCTTCGAAGATGTTCTCAAAGCTTTGGTCATGGCACCTCCGGTGAACAACTGAAGGGAGGCCGTTTTGTAGGTACCGTCTGTTTGGGCAATGATTGTGTGCAATCATTCATCAAGACTATCTCACCATCATCGCAAGAAATGTCTGGTGTAAAAAATGCCTGCTCCGCATCTGTGCTTTGCTTTGTCTGAGATGTGTTGTGCATATTTCTTTCATTAATATGTGCAAACCAAGGAAACTTAACCATGTCGTTTTGAGTATTCCTGTGTAGATTCGCAAGTGTTTCCATGTAGCGGTTGAAGGGTCTACTGCCAAACAAATTGGATTGGCTCCAAAAGCGCAGTTGATCATCGGCACTGCCTCTACACTTGCGGCTGGCCGCCTGAGCCTCGACATCCACCTTGCCTCGGAGGCCAGCTTCACTGCGCAGAGTCAGCCTCAGCAACCTGACTCTGCTGAGAAAGCAGTGGTGCCAGTTCCAGACGTCCACAAGCTGCATTCGGACATTGCTTCAGGCAAAGTTGTGGCGTGTGAAAGCAAACGGCTGCGCACAGTCAAGCAGTTGCAGAGCCACATCAATTACCTTCAGAGAGCCCATGGCTTGGTGACTGGACGGCTGGGTGGTTGGAATGGCCTTGCTCAGGCTGCTCTAGAAGAATGGCTTCTCCAAAATATCAAGGGGCGTAGCAGTTCACCAGCCCTTGCCATTGAAGATGAAAAGCAGGAGCATCCCCAGGCATCAGCAGCAATCCCTCTTGAAGATGAAAAGCATGAGCATCCCAAGGCATCAGCGGCAGACTCTCTCCAAGACAACATGGGCCAGGCATCCACCGAAGCAGAAGGCCAAGCGGCGCAGGCAGACTTTGAAGCTGATGCTGCTGCTGATGACCAGAAGACCGGGTCTGATGAAAGTGCTGCCTCAGATTCTTCGTCCTCAAGTTCCTCCACCAAGGGCGCCAAGCGGCGGCGCTTGTTGAATATGGCCCTGACCAACCTCGAGAGCCTGCAGAGGAACCTGCAGGAGGTGCGTTCTGACTGTCATGACTGCAGCCGCCTCATTGTGCAGACCATCAACGCGATCAAGGAAGCAATCTGAGCATTGTCTGGCAAGAACCCTGAGAAAAAAATCTGTCTTGCTGCTGCTCCTCACAAGGGGCCCCCAAAACGTCGGGCGCCCATATATATTATATGTATAGGCTTCTGTACTTGAGACACCGCTCGCTACTCCTGTCTCCGCTCTGTTGAGGTGCTGAAATCTCAGCGCTGTGAATTTGTCGCAATCTGGAGGATGCATCGACCAAATCCGGAGGATGCAACTGGTCAAGCAAGGTCTTGCCATCAGGCGGTGAGCTAAAGATGTTTGCCAAACTGCTTCAAAGGCTCACTGACAGGCTCGAAGCATAGTGAAACCCCTGCCACTGTCCGTTTACCGAGAGTATATTTGTATATTACTCCGGGGGGCAAATGCATGACGGTCAACAATCGTCTTGCTATGTAAAATAGGCCTATTTTGCATAAAGGGTTTTCAACAGGGAAACATGACCGGTTCCTGTAAAAACTATGATGAGCCCCCAAAGGGGAATTTTGAGCAGAAGATTGCGCAACGCCAGGTGAATTTGATACTTCTCGAATGTCATCATGCCCCTTTGTGAACATAGAGCAGGGAAATAAAAGATTGGAAAGGGAGGGAGAGGGAAAGGAGAAGTGAAGGAAAGGACACAACAGGAAAGGAAACAAAAGGAAAGGAAAGGGAAAGGAAGGGGACATGAAGGGAAAGGACAGTAGATGAGAGGTTGCGCCATCTATTGGTTGCTTTCATCACCCCATTTAGGAAACAAAAGGAGAAGAAAAGGAAACAGAAACCAGACGAAAGGGAAAGGGAAGGAGGAGAGGGAAAGGACAAATGAAGGGAAAACAAAGGGGAATGCTGCGCCATCTATTGGCTCAAAGGAACGGGAAAGTCAACCTGCGCCACATACTTCCTGGCTGTCAAAGGAACAGGAAAAGACAAGGAACGGAACGGAGAGGGAAAGTAAAAGTAATGGAAAGGCAACAAGAAAAAGAAGAGGAGAGGAGGGAGGAGTAGGGAAAGAAGAGGTGAAGGAGGGGAAAGAAAAGAAGAGGAAAGAGAAAGGAAAGGGAAGGAGAAGGATAGGGAAAGGAAACAAAAGGAAATGAGAGGGAAAGAACATGGACAGCAGGGGGAAATGAATGGAAAGGAGAGTAGATCAGCGGTTGCGCCATCTACTGATCGGTTGGCTGAATTGGTCATTTGAAGTTTTCGCAAATTCTGAATCTTGGGGCGTCTCAAAAAAGACAACTACGGTGCCATCTATTTTTCCTCGCGCTGTGCCATCTATTTGCCCCTCGGTGCATATAATAGTGCATATTTATAGTTAGTAACACAGTCTGGTAAATGGGCGTGATTCTTTTCATGCTGAGATGTGAGAGTTCAGGTGACAGGTGACTCTCGACGAAGGCGTTTGCTCCAGCAGCGCAGCTGCGGAGCTAGTGCACTGAGGTGTTGAGCTGCTAGAGTTGAATGTACAGTAAGGCTACGCACAGTATTCAAACGCACAATCAAAGTGGGACAGGATGCAAATTACAACATTTCAGTGTTGCAATGCTTGTTTCTGTGGTATGAAAAAAGTCATCTCGCTCAAAGAGTTGGTTTTGGTGGCTCAACACCGTGGCTCGGAGCTTGTGCATGTGGGGCACTTCTCAGAGCACTAGTGCGCGCTTCGGCAGCACAATTGTGTCGGAGCAAGCGGCTGGAAGCGACTGCATGGAATACTGGATTTTCAAAGCCTCAGGGGCCTCAGAAAGCTATGAAAAGCATTGAACATCGTAAGCAAGCTATGAATGACAAATAGTGAACTCAACCGTAGACCTTAGAGTTGCTGCTGAATTGTGGCTTCTGACGCTCACAGTTTTGAAGTCCAGTCCGTATCGTCACTGCCCACTTCAGCCCAGCCGCAGTTTGCAGACCAACTTCGAGTTATTTCGCCCTGAAACATCGAGCGAGGAATCACGAATAATTGCTGTCAGAGTTGAGTGAGCGCTGGAAGAAACTGTATGCATCGTAGATTGGCAGAGTTTAGACATCAAGAGACAGCTACAAATAGCTTAGTTTACACCTTGCCAGTTTACAATGTCAACAATAGTTTCATGCAGAAATTGAACTTTCTGTGTATATATATATACATTTATAGATGAGTCACTGGCTGAAAACCCAAATCTTCCCATGGCAGTAGTGAAGCTGGACTTCATTTTGTCTCTTAATCCAACGTTGGAAACAAGATATCAATAAGCCTGACAAAACTGTTCCATGCATCTCCTTTGTTTGCAATTGTTCGGGAATTTGACACTGCAAAGCTGAACCACATGAAAGTCTAATCTAAGATATCCATAGATATCCCAAGGGACAAGGGAACGTCCTGCGCTATGATGGTGATTGGACGCACAGGTGCTTCTACATTCTACATGTTGACATTTTGTTTCTTTGTTCTCGTTGTCCACCATCGTTTTGGGTACTACTGGGATGGTCTGGACGCTGGGATGACGATAGTTCTTATTGATGCAAGTACTATACATTGAATGTCAATGATATCGGGGTTGACGTGAGCCCGATGATGTTGGTTCATCCTTTTACCTTCGTGCATGGGCAACAGCTTTGAGCCAACTTCTCTCTCTTGTGGCTGTTTTCTCTTCATTGGACATCATCACATGTTTTGGCCAGGAAGATGCTGCTTGCTTTTGCTGTTGCAGCTAAAGGCCATGGAGGCCATTTCATCCACCACGCATCAAAAAGAATGTTCTCAAGTGTCAATCGCCGTGGCTCAGGTTCCTATCAATCGTCCGTTCCAGGTTCGCTGGTTGATTGACAGCCGACCGGGATTCAATAGAACACTGCCCAATTTTCGAGGGGCAAACTTCAGTATCATTACTTTCCACGATCGTCAATTCTTCAGGTGGTGCGGCCGACTGCAAATCATTCTTCAATGCTGCCTGTGCCAGACGGACTTGCCAGGCCACTGACACATTGGAAGCGTTACACCGTTACACATTGTGCCTCGTAGCGTTGGAGGTTGGCAAGCCATCCCAGCAGCATAGCAATCATATCTGCCGCAACCCAAGCTCCATTGTGCCACGTGACCTTTTATGAACCTTTGCAAATGAGCAGCCAGACAAATCAGGTCGTGGGCCCTTTCCATTCAGGGACCGCAGTTCTGATGAATCTTGCAATTGGCAGGTAAAACTATTGGTGGAATGCAGCCGGTTAACGCAATAGAGCCGAATCGCACTGTTTTTGAAAGCACTACACCAAGTGTGCAGGAAGAGCTTTTTGCTGAATGCACTGCTCGGTGACACGAAGGTCTCGCTGATTGGTTGTCGCACTTGAATAGCTTGACAAAGCTTGGAAATGGTAATTTGTGTCAAAAAGAACATCAAGTGAGTGTTCAGATTGGCACATGCCTGGAGGTTTTCCAGATAGGACGGAAGACGTCACCTGAGACAGAAGGCATTTGGTTATGCCTGGACCCGAGCATGTGAAGTCTGGAGTTTGCAGATCAAACTTCCGCATTTTGGGAAAACTGCTTTGTAGGGTACACTCGCTTACGGACTTTTTGGCACGCCACGCCCTCTGTATGTAAACAGTGGGAACCATAGAGTGGTCTATAAATGAAAAGTGAGCACGACCACACAACAACTGCAAAATGAATCACCATCGGGAAGGAAGATGAGGTGTACAATCATGTATATACACGAGCCGGGGCGCAGAACTAATTAACGGAGAAGTTCTTCGACCTTTTTTTGTGCAAAACTGGATCACTCGGCTTAGGTGACAACTCGGGGTATTTTGCTGTTGGAGTGAAAGCAATGTGGTTTGGAAGCCGAGGTAGCACGAGATCTGTATGGTAGGGATGCCCTGCCCTGGGAAGTTTTCGAGAATGTTATGACAAATGAACTGATCTTGGACTGCAAAATTAGGAAGATTAGGGCGCAGAGCAACGCGAGGGTTGTGCAGTCGCTAACCTAAATGATAGGGCCATTTCAAGGTCATACACAAATTCCAGACCCGATGGGCCCGATGGGCTAAAATATGGGCCCATGTAAAAGACTGAAAGATGACACTGCTTCCTCTCGTGGACGGATTTGTTTACGGCAAAGTGCTGCCAGACTGCCAGACAAAGCCAAACATGTTTGGTATGGGAAGTTACTGCTTACACAGGGCGTCAAATCTTCATGGTCGTCGAGTCTGGCTTCAACTGCTGTGTTATCTGCAGTATTGTTGTTTTGGATGCTGACGAGATCGTGGAGATCTGTTGCCTCATCTAGAGTGCAGTGGGACTTGACTTTCCGTGTATGCATATCACGTTGCCAGTTCGAGCGGTTGCGGGATTAAATGCCAGTGATTGTCAAGTGCGGTCAAGCTCCAGGCGTAGTCGAAAGCCCCCAAGTATTTGTCGATTTTGCTAATTACATATTGACGTTGACAATCGGTATAGGTATTCACATCCTTGATTGGATGATCTTAGATCTTCGTTAGCGTATTCGATAGCTGCAGCAATGGCAAACAATTCTGCCTGGGGACTGTAAGATGTTTGTTTTCTTGGGCATTGGAGGCTCAAATAAATAAGGCCCTTCACCATGGGGAGCAATGAGCCATGAAGAGCAGAATGTTGAGATGGACATAGATGAGCCCAAGAAGGGGTAGAATGCAGACAAGGCGCCAACAAGTCAGAGAAGACATCCAAAGAAGACAAGGGAAGAGCAGAGTGAAAAGACAGCAGAAGAGGGAGAAGAAGCAAGAAACGAGCTCTTTCCAACAGAAGCGAGTTCATCGTCATACGTGACCTTTAACAGCAAAGAACACCAGAAAGGCAAAGAACTCAGATGGAAACTTCAATAGAAGAAAGATCCATGCAAGCAGCGCCGCCACAGACCGCCAAGAAACAGTCATCCATCCCGGCTGAGATGGGGGAATTCAGCAAACAACTGGAACACCAAATGCAGGAGGCCAGACAGACAATGGAGAAAATGAAGCAGTCCATGGCCACCCAGAACAGGCACCATACGTACAAGAGATGCAACAACACATGATGAATCGCCAGCAAAGTGTACAGGGGCTGGAAAAGCAAACCACAGACCTCCGATGCAACATAGAAGATGTAGACATCCTGACACAGCGCGTGCGCGAAACACTGGTCGCACAGCAGAAGGAAGAAGCAGCAAAACAGACAGTTGCCAAAGGCTGGCCGAAGGAGTTCAGCGATGCAGAACGACATGGACTTATCAATTGGTTCTTGCACTCAAAAGGCTGGAGTGGCAAGCCAGTTCACGACCACACATGTACGGATGGCACAAACCTTCACCCGCCACCAGCATACACTGGCCAGATGAGTGGGCGAAGCGCACCTTTGAGAATTTTATCTACAAGCGGTACAAGCGGTACAACAAGCGCGACCCAGCAATCGTCTGGGGCAAGCGCGCCAACGCAGTGTACTATGGAAACCAGCCACAAACTAGCGATGTGGAGAGAGATGTGAACTTGACCATCCAGGCCGCCTTGCGCATCGTGACAAAGAACCCAGCAGCGACCTCGCAGACTCCTGGAGTAAAGTGGCAGTGAGACGGCAGGACAAGCTGGCAGTCCGAATCGCAGACAACAGACAAGTGACTAGCTTCCTCTGAAGGAACCACGGAAACTGTGAAGGTAAGAGCGCGGAAGCAATCAGGAAAGAAGGAGTTAGGTTGAGTTAGGGAAGAAGGAAATAGGTGATAAGGAAACAGGTGGGAAGGGCCTAGGCAAAGAGGAACTTGTCGTATCGCCTTTGAAGATTTCTCTGATACACGCCAGAGACCAAAAGGCCAATAGAAACAAACCTATAGTTAGAGACTATTGATCCATACCGTCAAGTGGTGTCCCGGGACCTTTGCAGAGCCTCTTTTGCAAAGAGAGGAAATACACCCAAAGCTTCCCACACTTATATACACCCAGATTTAGAGGGGAAATCAGAAACGCGCAGTTAGGCGCAGATTGTGGAGATATTTTAAACGAGTTCATGGCAAGCTGGGCAAAAACGAGATGAATCCAAGTCGCTCAAATATGAGTTCAAAGCATTTCAGAAAAGGGTAGCCAAAGAAATCGACCCCACTCAAAAATCGCATAAGGATGGGGGACATAAGCTGTCTTACAGCATACCACTTACTGAACATCAGAGGGCTAAATGGGGAGAATGGCATAGCCAAGCGACAGCTCATAACCAAGGTCATGAAAGATGAGGGGTTGGATATTCTTCTAACTGAGACTACCCAGACACAACGAACGAATTCCTCTTTTGTTTTAGCAGTGACATTCAGCCGGGGATATCGGATAGAGAACATGCGGGTGTTGGAACAGTCTTGCGTACCAGGTTCAAGCCATACCTATACGAAGTAAAACAAAGGAGTGGACGAGTGATGGCGTTGAGGTTGCGATCGCGGGGAACCAACGTGACCTTTTACGCTGCCATGCGCCGCATAGCGGACACGGGATCGACTTGAAAGAGGCCTTTTATGAATTTGTAGAAAAGCTTCTGATGGAATGCGCCGAGGCCGTGTGTACATAGGGGTGATTTTAGCGCCAGACTGCAACACAGATATGACAATGAATCTGAAGTTTTGGGACCTCATATTTTCGGAAGAGGTCGGACGTACCTCGAGGGAGTGGCGCAGGCGACCAAGGAGAACCGGGGCCTATTTATTGACTTTTTGCGCTGCCAACTCGCTACGTCTACGTATTTTGAATACCGATTTTCAGAAGCCTCTTTCAAAACAAGCAACGTTCCGGGAAAACACCACTCCAATCGGGCGTGCTGATTATTATGCTGAAAATGGACTTCTGCCCAACAAGGCAGAAGCATCGCACCCATTGCGCAGATGTACAAAGCCATACCGGTTTGTACCTGAACACGGACCATACCGGTTTATCGTCGAATTGAAAGTGCGGATTTGTCTTGCCGCCGCATTGCCGAACTGTAACTTTATTCCCAAATGTTTGAAGCCTAACAAAGCCAAAGGCGACGATCCGGTGAGTCTGTGGCAGCTTTGTTTACACCAACACCAAACACAGATCAACCATGGGAGAGTTTCAACCACGCTATTTTTGTGAGTAGGGGAGAGGCTAGGAAATATGGTTTTCAATTTTTGGATCTATTTGTGAAAAATTATGAAACGCATTTATGAACCATTTTTGTTTTTTACTTTATGATTTTTTAAATGAATTTTTTACTTAACAAACTAGTTTATGACTTCTTGATGTGCTCAACAAATCTTATATAAGCTTTCATAAAATATCATAAACATTTCATAAGATATTTATATTTTTGAATAAAGATGTATAAAATATCATATTTTTCATAATTTGTTATGTTTTTACGATTCTCTACAAATCGTAAGAAATCATAAAGCAGCATAAAATTTTTCTGAAACATATGATTTTTGATTTTGCTGTGAAAAAAGGAATCTCCAAAAATTGAGGACCAATTAGTTTTCATAAAATATTAACAAAAAGTCATAAGAGAAAACAATCAACAAAACAATTCTTTGGCTGTCTTCCTGACTCTCAATGCTATTTGCAGCGCCGCAGGTCAATGTCTGCCCAAAGAGCACCGCCAGACTAGAAAAGGTTACTGCGCATGTTTTGGAATTTATGGGATCTTGATCGTTGGGCCAATGCTTCTTGCAAGTACGCCGCGATAGTTTCAGCGCGCTCCTTCAGCGGGACTAGTCTGCCATGTGAATTGCGCGCCCTGGTATACGCAGGCTTGTCATCTTTTTGGAGACGATTAACAACTTTCCTGTTTGGCTCCATCGGGTCGCGCTGAAGCTGGTTCACTACGCGCTGCTTCCTGTCTCCTCTGGCCCCCTTGTTGATGAGTCTATTTAAGTTAGACACTCCTTCGTGACTCCCTAGCCAGTAAAGCGCCCTCACAAAGCCAGATTGGAGAAAATATTTTCTGTTTTTCACTATTCAGGAGCTACGTGAAGCGTTCAAAAAAGACTAAGCCAGGAAAGCATTCGGGCCCCGACGACATAGTCGTGGAAGTATACAACTGGCTTAATGTAGTAACCGGGCATCATGTGTTATACATTTTAAATTGTTGGCGGACCAGCGGCAACATACCTCCGATCTCTTGACAGCTAGAGTGGTACCAATTTCCCAGAAAGGTGATATTGATGACCCAGTAGATTACCGTCCAATTTCACTGTTGAATTCTACTTGCAAAATCTTTGTTTCTTAAATAGGGGACCGAATACACCAAGCTGTGGACCACAAGCTGTCAGTCACGCAATACGTTTTCCGACCAAATCGGTCGACGGCCCACGCAACCTCCTATATCATACGTGACTGCAAGACTGGTCAGAGCAGAAGGGGGCAGAACTGTATATGGCCATGGACCTTATTGATTGGGAGAAGGCCTTTGACAGGGTGCAACATTGAAAACTGTTTGACTCATTGAACTGGCTTGGGATATCTACGCACTTTGT